TGAACGCGCAGTCCTTATCTTGGTCAATCGTTTATTTTAAAATAAAGATATATATGGTCTTTTGATAATACATATATATATAATTTAAAATCGGCCGTTTGTAGTGCATGTGAGTCCATTTTCTGCGGTAATTTGTCAAAATATTATTTGCAATAGGACGTACATAATATCTTGATAGTCCGCATTTTGGTTTATAAACCATTTTTGGAAAAGTCATTACTCTTTCCTAGATTTCTTGAGGAGCGTACATGCCGGAATTTCTGATGGATTATTGCTGCGTCATCTTTTTTCTAGCAAGAATCTTTGTTTTTTTCTCGCTAAAAGGAACTTTCTTTAGCTTGTTGTGCTGCGTGATACCGTACGTTATATAAAAAAGGGAATAAAAAAGAGGAGTCGCAGCATTTGCATTGGCGCAGAACATTAGTCATTTTTAGTAATTTTAATAAACGATAAGATTTAAATTAAAATCTCTTTGACGAAATGTTCATAAATATTGACACCACAATAAACTTTGTTGATTGTTTATTAAAAAAAAAAAAAAAAAGCATCTCAAAGGATTCAGATTAAACGTTCTAATTATCCAATAGGAAAATTCCGAACGAAGGCGTAGCAAAAACGTCGAGATATTATTTGTTTATTGAGAAAGTGTAACGTGCATGTATCGTGAGAAAAGAATGTGAAACTGATGAAAAGGTCGATCCATGTATTTGAACATTTTACTATAAATAACTCACTATCCATAAATGTCCTTTATTTTTTTAATCTCGTGTTCCCAAAGGAAATGACATAATTTTTGGATAAGATTTAAAATAAAAAAAGATAACGACATATTTTAATTTTATTTCGCATGAAAAAAGTTGGTTTGGCGGTCACATTATTCATATCGGACCGCATGATATTAGTCACAAGGTCTCTCACAACTGTTAAACCTAATACGGATCTTCGGGTAATACTGACAAGATGAGTCATTGATAATTCACGTAAAATCCCGTTATGTTTCTTTGTTCTGTTGGATCATCATAAAAAAGATAAATAATAAATAATAAATAATCCAGCACGAAAAGACGTGTGTTATTTATGTGATTTATTTTAATGGATCACCTATTAGGGGTAATAATAATAAATGCAAGATGAGGAGTAGGATGCCTCAATTAGAAACGCACCTTTAAATCTTACCAGAATTACGAGAGTTCACAAAGACGGTAAATCCGGATTTTACTTATCCGGCCTTATTTTTTGATTATCCGTTTTCCCTCGTATAACTGCTCGAATCCTTTCACAATCTGCCAATGTTGCTAAAACTTTCGGAAATCGTGCCCTTTTGCAAAAATTATTTTCAGGTCGATTACCTTGTGTAAAGACTTTGTCATTTTGATTTGTATATATGGTATATGATTACTGGTTTGGGTATAGAGAATTAATAATCATTTCGCACGCACGGATGTATTTTCCTAATAAAAAGATAAATAAAAAGATATGATCCACATACACAATAAAGTACAAAGGATTGTGTCATCTTTGATCAAATGATTTATTAATATTTAATTACCTAAACAATAATTACACATTATTTAATTATAATGACAATTCTAAGGAGCTCTTATGATGTACATAAATAAAAAAATTTAACAATAGTTCCTCAAAAACTTCGGAGAAACCTTTCTTACCCCTAAAATTAAAAAATACAAGGATGCGTTTAGTAATGTGATGAAATGTGATATGTGAGGGGAAAAAATAAATTTGGCATTTTGTATAAACTGGGTCAGGGTTAAAAAGCTCATTAATATTGTATTCATTCGATGAAATGTTTTACACCGTCATGTGAAGAAATTCAAAAAGAAAAATCATCATTCCCAGCTTATCAGCGACTTATTTTTTTGAAAAGGTGATTTTTTTACATACCTTTCTGTCACGTGAAATTATTGATTTTTTTATTATGAAGGATTTAATTTTACAATATCTGATGACGCTATACACAACCTTACTCAACCGCCTTGAAATTTTGTAATCTTAAAATTAATAAAACAATAAAACAGAAAAAATTATGTTATTGAAACCTACAAAAAAAAAAATTCAAGATTGAAGAAAAAAAAAAAATTTTTTTTTTTTTTTTTTTTCAAGCCTATTTTTATAACCAATTATTATCTGTCCCTAAAATAAATGTGACGTAGTGACATTTAAAAACTGATGAGTGGCTTAGAATTGATTAGAGGAATATGATCAAAATTTTTTAAAAAAATTTCCCTTTTCCTTTCCTTTTTTTTTCTTTTTTCTTTTTCTTTTTTTTTTTTTCTTTTTTTTTTTTTTTTTTTTTTTTTTTTTTTTTTTTTTTTTTTTTTTTTTTTTTTTTTTTTTTTTTTTTTTTTTTTTAATGAAAACTTACATGATCTTGTTTGATTAATATGACATTGTTTGGAAAATTATATAATCAAGTTAGACCACTATTATTTGTACGTGAAGTATGCTATAACGATGGGTTACGTAAACAAATTCTTTATTCAATAAATACAAAGGTTCAATTGTCATTTTTAAAGAGAACTATGTATACAAGAGATGAAATTGATAATTTTACAGATCATGAAAGATTTATTGAAGAAACTGAAGATTCAAGGGAATCAGAAAATTTTTCAACCATTGACGAAATCGTTGATGATACAATAGATACACTTGATATAATTCCGGACAAGGATGAATTGATTAAAAACCCTCCAATCGTAAGGCGTAACAAACATTGGTCTAGGTTAGAAGTAAAGGTTTTGGAAAGTCTCATCGAAAAGTATGGAAAAGATTGGGAAACGATCTCTCAACATATGTTCGAGAAAACACCGCAAGAATGTGAAGCTCAATATGAGGACATGATGAAGGGTCGACCGGACCTTAGACAACCTCTTAAAGGTTTACCTGACTTCACCGAAAGTGAAATCGCTCAGATAAATAATTTAATTGAAGAGAATGGTCGTAGTTGGCGTAAGATTGCGAAACATTTTTATGGTAAATCCGCACTCGCAGTTGAAAGTTTTGTAAAGAATAATCCGAATAGATTTCCATCCCTTTACAAACGTTCCATAATCATGAAACAATTTAAGGGATCGGCTTGGACGGATGAGGAATTAAAATCCTTGAATGAACTCATTGTGAAATATGGACGAGATTATGATGCAATTTCAGAAGAGTTGCCTGGTAGAAGTCCCAAAGCCATAGAGAGAAGCATCTCAAAACACATGTTGGACCTTCCTGCGCTTCATTCTGGAAAAGTCGCGGATTGGTTCAGATCTTCAACCATTTGGAGTGAATCAGAAACGCGTTTATTAAATGAACTGGTCGAAACTTATGGTTTCAATTGGGAAAAGATCTCGGAATACCTACCAGGTCGATCACCCATTTCTTGCAGCGCTAAATTTTATGGCAGCTGGTCAACTTGGAATACCAAAGTGACCGCCCTGGTGCCTCACAAATGGCCCAAAGAAGTATTACAATTTTTAGACTTGTTGATAGAAAGATACGGGAGATGGCAAATCATACCACTTCTCATACCAGGAATAACGCCCGCAAACTGGTTTTCGCCCTTTTACCCTCAATCTAGAGTTTGGACGACGAGTGAAAAAGTGATTTTACAATATTTGGTAAGAACTCTTGGATACAATTGGGAAAAAATTTCAGAATATTTTCCTCACAGGCAACGTTGGTCAATTATTCGTGAAGTACTCGGTAATATTGAATATTATGAATCCGTAAATGCAAATGAGAATGATTTAATAACAAAACTTGCCGTGCCAAAAAAGCAAAAACGTCGTTCTTCACTTTGGCCATATGATGAAGTGAAGAAATTATATGAACTCAAGGAAAGATATTCTTCTAATTGGTATCAAATATCAGGGGAACTTCCTGGTAGAACTCCTGCTGCATGTTATCTAAAGGATTTCGTACTCACAAATGCGTGTAAGGAATTAGATAATAAGTTAAGCGCTCTCGAGATTTGTCATTTACAAGAACTCCTCAGAAATCATGGCGACGATTGGGATATTATCTCGAAATATATAAAAAATAAAGATATAAATGAAATTAAGAATATTATAAATGAATATCCTAAAATTTTCCCACCTGTATTATTTGGATCACAAACCGGAATTACAGGTCATTGGACGGAAAAGGAAGAGGCATTATTTAAAAATCTTATCGCATCACATGGAAATAATTGGAAATTCATCAAAAATTTTTTCCCAAGGAAATCATACAAACAACTCTATGAATATTATCAAGCGAATCGAGAAACTTTTCCCGATGCGTATTCTATGAATACAAATTATTGGGTATTTAATCGATCCTCATGGAAGAAGGAAGAAAATGATTCATTAAAAGAATTAATAACTAAACATCATGGTGATTTTGATTTGATTTCACGCAACCTTCCTGGTAGGACAAGTGCTGCTATTAAAGCTCATATCCGTAATCATCCTGAACTTTTCTCCTCAAAACCAGGAATTGAACAAAATCGACAATCGAAAGAAATTTGTAAAAAAGGTCAAAAAGTTCAGAAAGATCAGAAAGGGTCAAATATATATTGGACAACAGAAGATGAAAATAAATTACTAGAATTGGTAAATTCTCACCCAGTTGATTGGAGTAAAATTGCTGCTGAATTTCCTTCTAGATCATTAAGTGCCTGTAAAACCAAATATCGTTCTTTACTAAAACCAGAAATGACGATATCGAGATTTATTGATACTTACAAGGTTTCATAAAATTCAATTTATCAATTTGTTATTAGGAAGAGATTGTAAATAAATGTTTTTCAAGAAAAGATGGGTTCAATAAAAAAAAAATCTAGTATATAAGAGTGCGTTACACGACAAAATCAATGCAAAGTAGATCAATCGGGATCTAAGAACCGATTTGAAGGTTGACCTTCCGTAAACCACAAAAATGAACTACACACAAGCTCTTTAAATAATTCGAACGACTCCTCCAACTAATTCCTTAAAACGTCACTTCCGATTTCCATGTTTGTTCAACCACAAGAAAAATTTTCAAATAAAATTTTCGAAATAACCACCAACCATAACTTTAATGCGATGCCGGCGCCAGAGAACGCAACGTCTCCTACATCGCCTTTTTCTTTTGTTCCTTCTACAATTTTAGAAGGGGATGTAGCTTCTGTTAATTCTTTCAAGTCAACGGATACCAACTATACCGGAGATCAAGAAAGTTTAGCTTCCGACTTTGCAGTAAGGGAAAATGATCTGCAAGGAATAATAAAAATCCTTTGTGAGCTTGATGTATGATTATATTTTGTTTATTAATTCTAATTTTTTTTTAAGGACTATCTAATTTTTTTTCTTTTCTCTTTCTTCATTCATTAGGGTGGTCTGAGTATAGCATTAGAAAGAGTAAAACAGGATGTAGTGACAGCAAAAGCATGTATCATTTAATTATTTTTTATTTTTATTTTTCATCATTTAATCATAATTATTAATATTTTATCCAATTACAATATTTTCGATTTATTAGGAAGTGGCCACTTTTTTGAGAAAAAGAGCCGCAATAGAAGAAGAGTACGGTAAAATGATGATGAAATTAGCAAAGAATTTACAAGAAAGTCATCATACTAATGATACGAAACAGGGGTTAATTTCTCGAATTTTTTTTTTTTTACTTTATATTATTATAGTTTGTTGATTAATATTCGTTTTATAATTAGATCATATGGTGACAGTTGGTTAAGCATATTAAAAATACACGAAAACATAGGAGAAAATAGGGTTAAACTTGCATCCGCGATTCAAGAAATATCTGAAGATGTAACTGTCCTTTATAAGGACATAGATAAAGCCAGAAAAAATGTATTGAAAAAAATTCCTTTAGTTATTACTAAAATATATTTATTAATACTAACAATAAAAAATAATATTGCAAAATTTTAAATAGCTTAAAGATTCCGGGCAAAAATATGAAAAAGCAATTCAAGATTCAGAAACATCCTTAGAAAAGGTGACTGTTAAATCTTTATTTTTTTTAAAAAATGTTTTCCTATTATACATCTCTTATCTTTATTATTTTTATAGGCTAAAGGGAAATACGATTCATATAGTGAAGATTGGGAACGTACTATTTTACAAAAGCATGGAGATTCTCCTACTACTTCAAAACCAAAGACTTTGCCAAAATCAATATTTTCTAAACAACCAAAGACCCCAACACAGGTTCAATTATAATTTATTTGAAATATATAAATTGGATTGGATTTTATCATGATTTACTAAATGCGGTCTAATCCTGAGTGTTCATAAAAAAAAATCTCTCTAGTTAGTTAAAATGGAAGAAGATGCTAGAAATAAAGCCGAAGCTGCAAATGCAACATATAAACAACAGCTAATAGCTGCAAATACAGCACGCCATGACTATTATGACGTACAACTACCCAGCATAATTACGGTAATATACTATATATATATTCGTTTATTAATTTGTAATTGTAATTTTTTTTAAAAGATAAATATTGAAGCTTTTCTTTTAAAAAAAAATAAAGACCCTCAAAGAAACTGCCGATGAATGTGACGTAGGTCTTCAATATCATTTGGCGCGATATTCTTACTTATTTGAAAATACTATTGTATGCGACGGTTTGCTTATAAACCCAATCAATGACGAAGATGGTAATTACGCAAATAAAACAAAATGAAGATCTAATCATGACATTTAGTTTTTTTTCCACCCTGCATACACGTATTTTAAATTTCTTACCAGATGAATAATGCTCATTTTACAACATCTTCACTTTATTCTCTCTCTTTAAGGTCCTGCTTTACGTAAAACCGTGGAAAAAATCAGTAATGACGAAGATTTTTACAATTATGTGAAATCTCATGACGTTATGACAAGAAAGACAAAAAAATCTGATATTCCATATGATCAATATAATTTGGTATAGCATTAACTCGTATAAAAATTTTTGTATTGGCGATTTTATTTTCTTATTCTATTTTTCTTTTAGTCTACACAAGCTGTCAACATCATAAACCCAAAGAATATTTTTGGCGTGGATTTAGCTGAGCAAATGCAAAGAGATGGTCATGAAGTTCCATTAATACTGGTTAAATGTTGCGAAGCGATTGAACAATGTGGTGAGATTTAGCAAACAAATCCATATACTCAAACCTTGCTATTAATCATTCCTGGTAAATATTTTATTAGGAGGATTGCAAAGCCAAGGTCTTTATCGTATTTCAGGAGTAACGTCTCATGTTCAAAGATTGCGGACGCTGTTTGATAGAAGTAAGGTTTTAATCTACTAAAACTATTAACATATTCATTGAAAGTTTAATTCATATTTTAAACATATTTTAACAGATGCGGACACGTTTGATCTTAATGCGGAAGAAAATCTTGACGTGAATGATATCACTAGCGTTTTAAAATTATGGTTTCGTGAACTACCCGATCCACTCTTTACAAGGGATATGTATCAAGATTTTATTAATGCTGCAAGTGAGTATATAACATCTTAATTAAAATTATTATTTAAATCCGAGAATTCAAAGAATTTTAAATGAATTACGCATCGTCATTAAGAAAATCCCGACGATAGAAGACGTGTCCTTGAGCTCCATGACCGTGTTAATCATCTTCCGGACGCAAATTATAGTACTCTAAAATATTTGATGCGCCACTTAAACGAGTAAGATAATCTTTTAATGATTCTTAAAATATATTTATTTATTTATTTATTTAAGTATGATTCTAATAAGTTGAAATATTTATAGGGTAGTAAAAAATCAAGAATATAATAAAATGAATGTACAAAATCTTGGTATAGTTTTTGGTCCTACGTTAATGGGAAGTCCAGTTGTAGGGGTTTCAAATTCTACACCAGGTATTTCGGGTCCAGTATTATTACAAAGTGATGGAGCAGGACTCAATGATATGAGTTGGCAATGTAAAGTTGTAGAAACAATCTTAATGAATTATCGTTCTATTTTTGTTATGGAATAAGCATGTGTGTGTCGATAAGATAGATTTATTTATGATAATTTGATCCTGGTGATAATAAATATAATAGATAGATCTATTAAAAAAAGTGATGTTTTTTTATTAGCAATCTTTTTTTTTTTTTAAAAAAAAAAATAGTTATGAATGCTTACCAATATTACATAAAAAAAAATTATTTAATATATAATTAAAAAAAAAAAAAAAAAAACAATTTTAAATCTTGTTCTTTCAACTTTTTTTTTTGTTTTTTTTTTTTTTTAAAAAAAAAAAAAAAATACATATTAATTCAAATTTATTTTAATGTACTGTATTCACTTTAAAA